ATGCACTCCCATGTTCCATCCCATGCGTTCCCATGTTCCATTCCCATGTGTTCCCATGTTCCATCCCATGCACTCCCATGTCCCATTCCATGCATTCCCATGTGTTCCCATGTTCCATCCCATGTATTCCCATGTGTTCCCATGTTCCATCCCATGCACTCCCATGTTCCATCCCATGTGTTCCCATGTTCCATCCCATGCATTCCCATGTTCCATTCCATGCATTCCCATGTATTCTTCCCATGTGTTCCCATGTTCCATCCCCTGCATTCCCATGTTCCCCTGTCCCATTCCATGCCCAGCCTGCTGTGCACGTGTGTCCATGTGTTCCCATGTGTTCCCATGTCCCATCCCATGCATTCCCATGTATTCCCATGTGTTCCCATGTTCCATTCCATGCACTCCCATGTTCCATCCCCTGCATTCCCATGTTCCCTGTCCCATTCCGTGCCGATCCCTGGTGCACGTGTGTCCTTGTGTTCCCATGTTCCATTCCATGCCCTCCCATGTTCCATTCCATGCATTCCCATGTTCCATCCCATGTATTCCCATGTTCCCTGTCCCATTCCGTGCCCAGCCTGCCGTGCACGTGTGTCCATGTGTTCCCATGTCCCATTCCATGCACTCCCGTGTTCCATTCCATGCATTCCCATGTCCCATTCCATGCACTCCCATGTTCCATTCCATGTATTCCCATGTTCCATTCCATGTGTTCCCATGTGTTCCCATGTTCCATCCCATGTATTCCCATGTTCCCTGTCCCGTGCCGTGCCCAGCCTGCCGTGCACGTGTGTTCCCATGTGTTCCCATGTCCCATTCCATGCCCTCCCATGTTCCATCCCCTGCATTCCCATGTTCCCTGTCCCGTGCCGTGCCGATCCCTGGTGCACGTGTGTCCATGTGTTCCCATGCTCCATTCCATGTGTTCCCATGTTCCATCCCATGTATTCCCATGCACTCCCATGTTCCATCCCCTGCATTCCCATGTTCCCCTGTCCCATTCCGTGCCGATCCCTGGTGCACGTGTGTCCATGTGTTCCCATGTTCCATCCCATGTGTTCCCATGTTCCATCCCATGCACTCCCATGTTCCATTCCATGCATTCCCATGTTCCCCTGTCCCATTCTGTGCCCAGCCTGCTGTGCACGTGTGTCCACGTGTTCCCATGTCCCATTCCATGCACTCCCATGTTCCATCCCCTGCATTCCCATGTTCCCTGTCCCGTGCCGTGCCGATCCCTGGTGCACGTGTGTCCATGTGTTCCCATGTCCCATCCCATGTGTTCTCATGTTCCATCCCATGCCCTCCCGTGTTCCATCCCATGCATTCCCATGTTCCCTGCCCCATTCCGTGCCGATCCCTGGTGCACGTGCGCTGCTCGGGACGGGCTGTTCCCTCTCTCTCCCTGTTCTCTCTCCCTGTTCCGTTCCCGTTGCTGTTCCTGGCTCCGCGCCCGGGGCCTGGCCGGGGGACGCGGGGGAGGGGCGCGGGGGAGGGGGCGTGGCCATGCAAATGAGCGCCGAGGGATGTAAATGAACTGGGACAACTGGGACAACTGGGGGACGGCTCCCGGAACGGACTGGGACCAGTACGAGGTGCTGGGAGCGGCACTGGGTTGGGACTGGGACTGGGACTGGGACTGGGACCAGTATGAGGTGCCGGGAGCGGCACTGGGCTGGGACTGGGTCTGGGACCAGCACTGGACTGGGACTGGGACCAGCATGAAGCACTAACTGGGACCAGCACCAGGCTCTAACTGGGACCAGCACTGGAGTGGGACTGGGATCAGCACCGGGCACTAACTGGGACCAGCACTGCAGTGGGACTGGGATCAGCACTGGACTAGGACTGGGACCGGCACCGGGCTCTAACTGGGACCAGCACCGGGCTCTAACTGGGACTAGCATGAGGCACTAACTGGGACCAGCACTGGGCTGGGGGGAGCAGCCCCAGACCCCGGGGGGTTCCCTGGACCCCCAGAGAAGGGGGGACCCCCCCCCACCGTGGGAGGGGACAGGGATGTCACACCAAGGCCACACGAGACACACACGTGACACACACGTGACACACACGTGTCTCCCACGAGGCCACGAGAGCCTTGCACACGTGTCCCTCACGTGTGTGCACGTGCCCCACACGTGTCCCAGCGTCCCACACGAGGACAGACATGTCCCACACGTGTCCCAGTGTCCCATAGGTGTCCCACACGTGTCCCAGCGTCCCACACGTGTCCCAATGTCCCACATGTGTCCCAGTGTCCCATACGAGGACAGACATGTCCCACACATGTCCCACGCGTGTCCCAATGTCACACATGTGTCCCACACGTGTCCTAGTGTCCCACACGAGGACATGCATGTCCCACACGTGTCCCAGTGTCCTACACATGTCCCAATGTCCCACCCGTGTCCCAATGTCCCACCAGTGTCCCAGTGCCCCACACGTGCCCCACACGTGTCCCAATGTCCCACTGTCCCACACGAGGACATGCATGTCCCACATGTGTCCCACACGTGTCCCAATGTCCCACCCATGTCCCAATGTCCCACACGTGTCCCAGAGTCCCACACGAGGACATGCATGTCCCACACGTCCCACACGTGTCCCACACGTGTCCCACTGTCCCACACATGTCCCAATGTCCCACGCGTGTCCCACCCGTGTCCAATGTCCCACACGTGTCCCACCCGTGTCCAATGTCCCACACGTGTCCCACACGAGGACATGCATGTCCCACACGTGTCCCAATGCCCCACCGTGTAACCCACCCGTGTCCACACATGCCCCACCCGTGTCCCACCTGTGTCCCCACACGAGGACCCCCACACCCTGCCCCCCCCACTCGGGAAGGCCCTGGAGGTCCCCTGAGCACCCCAGCCCCCTCCCCCTATAGGGACCACCCCCACCCCACCCCCACCCCCCGATCCTCCGTGGGTGCCACGCGGAGACCAAACCCTCCCCCCATCCAAGGGGTCCCACCTCGACCCAGGGGTCCCACCCTCCAGACGCCCCTCACTCATCCTTTACCCCCCAGATTGAGGGGGAGGGTCCTGACCCTCCCCGAACCCACCCCCACTCCTGACCCTCCACACCCACCCTGGAGGGGCCTGACGTTTCCCCCAAAAAACCATCCCTGGGACCCCTCAGGATCGAATCCCACCCCCTCCAAAGCCCCCAGCCCAGGGACCCCCAAATGAGGCTGATCCTGCCCCTCCTCCTCCACAGGGGTCCCAATCCTGAACAACCAGGGGCGGATCCTGCCCCTCCCCTCCACGTTCCTGTCCTGAGACTCCCCAAAGTGAACAGGACCCCCCCACCCTGTCCTCGGGGTCGATCCTGCCCATCCTGGGGTCGCAGCCCTGGGACCCTCCCACGGGACCGATCCCAACCCACGACCACCCCTGGGGATCGGACTCGCCCACCCGGGGTCGTAACTCGGGACCTTCCCCTCCCCCGTGCTCAGGAGCCCACCCTGCCCCCTCAAAAGGGGTCGCAGCCCCAGGACCCCCTCCCCACGAGGACCCTTCCCTGTTCTCCCCACTCCACTCGGGGTCCCAATCCTGCCTTCCCACTGGGGTCTCAGCCTGGGACCCCTCGTGGCCGGGGTTCACCCTGTGTCCCCCCGCCCCCAAAGGGCGTGTCTCAGCCTCGGGACCTCCACCTGGAACCCCTGTCCTCTCCCCGAGCTGCCTGTCCATGGCCGGGGGTCCACCCTGTGTGTCCCCTCTCCCCACGGGGTCTCAGCCTGGGACCTCCCTGAGGACCCGTCCTCGTCCCTCCCCAAAGGTCTCAGCCCTGGGACCCCCTGACCCCCTGTACCTCGGCCCGGGCTGCCCTGTCCATGGCCGGGGTCTCACCTGTGCCCCCCCAGCCCCCTAAAGGGGGTCTCAGCCCTGACCCTCCCTGCACCTCCTGTCCCGAGTGTTCCCTCCAAAGGGGGTCTCAGCCCTGGGACCCCCTGTACTCGGCCCGGGCCGCCTGTCCATGGCCGGGGCTCACCCTGTGCCCCCCATTCCCCCCAAAGGGTCCCAGCCCCTGGGACCCCTGGTCCTTGTGCCCCCTGCCCCCTCAACAGGGGTCTCAGCCCTGGACCCCCTGGGACCTCCTCCTGTACCTCGGCCTGGGCTGCCTGTCCATGGCTGCCGCTGCTGCGCCTCGGCGCCCGCACTCCACCGCCTGACCCTGCCTCGGGCACGCCTCTCCTGGGACACGCCCTCCTGGGACACGCCTCTCCCGGGACACGCCCCTCTCCTGGGACACGCCCCCTCGGGACACGCCCCTCTCCCGGGACACGCTCTCTTCTCCTGGGACACGCCTCTTATCGGGCACGCCCTCTAAGACACGCCTCTGCCGCCTGACACACCCCCTCATGGACACCGCCTCTCCACACGGGGACACGCCCCTGGGGCACGCCCCTTGTGGGGACACACACACCCCTGACACTCCTCCACGCGGACACGCCCTCATCGGACACGCCCCTGGGACACGCTCCCTTCCACGCAGGACACGCCCCCAGGACACGTCCCTTCAAAGACACACCCACTTTTGACACGCCTTCTGGGACACGCCCCTTCCACGCAGGACACGCCTCTCCACGCAGGACACGCCCTCCTCGACACACCCTACCCTGCCACACCCCTCTGCTGGACACGCCCTTCTAATAAGCCACGCCCACCCACCCGACAGATCCCCTCCTAGGACACGCCCCTCTCTGACCACGCCCGTCATGACCACGCCCTCTACCACACTCCTTTCCCTGACCACGCCTCGCGTGACTCCTCCCAAACTCCCCTGGGACTCCTAAACCCACAAAGACCCCCAAAAATCCCCCAAAATCCCCCCTGGGACCACAAAAACCATTGGCCCTGCCCCTTCTTAAACCACGCCCTCTTTTTCTGGCTCCGCCCCTCGCCTCCCATTGGCTGCCTGCGGCGCTGACCTGAAGTGACGCGGGCGCTGTGACCCGAAGCGCAGCGGAGGCGGCGGGAGGGACCGGAGGAACCATGTGAGGGACTGGGATGGGGACTTTTGGGGATTTAGATTTTAGGCAAAGAGGTGTGAAAGAGGACGGGGGCGGAGGACCGTGGGGCGGGGGATGGGGAATGAGGGGAGGGAAAGGGGAATAAAGGGGGAGGGGGATGGAAGGATGAAGGAGGAGGGGAGATATGGGAATGGGAAAGGTGGCTCCAGGGTCTGCTCTGTGTGTGTGTCCCTCCCACGTCGCTGCTGTGTCCCCTGATCCTCCCTGCAGTGTCCCCGCTGTCCCCTGATGTCCCCTCGATGTCCCCTGGATGTCCCCTGATGTCCCTCCTGTCCCCTGATGTCCCCTGTGTCCCCCTGACTCCCCCTCCTGCTGTCCCCTCTGCTGTCCCTGGTGTCCCTCCTTGTCCCTCATGTGTCCCCCTGACCCCTCTTGTGTCCCCCTGATCTCCCTGTTGTCCCTCCTGTCCCCTGATGTCCCCCCTGTATCCTCCCTGCTGTTCCCTGTGTTTCCTCTCCTGTCCCTAGTGTCCCCCTGAACCCCCCTCCTGTCCCCCTGCTGTCCCTCTGTGTCCCCCTGACCCATCTCTCCTGTCCCCTGTGTCCCTTCCTGTCCCTGTGTCCCCCTGCTGTCCTTGCTGTCCCCTCGATGTCCCTCCTGTCCCCCTGACCTCCCCTGTGTCCCCCTTGACCCCCCTGTGTCCCCCTGTATCCTCTTGTGTCCCTCCCCTGTCCCCTCCTGTGTCCCCCTGATCTCTCCTGTGTCCTTCCTGTCCCTGTGTCCCCTCCTGTCTCTCCTGGTCCCCTGTGTCCCCCCTGCTGTCCCCCTGGTGTCCCCTGGTGTCCCTCCTGTCCCTCTCCTGTGTCCCCCTGATCTCCCCTGCTGTCCCCTCCTGTCCCTGTGCCCCTCTGTTGTCCCTCCTGTTGTCCCCCTGTGTCCCCTCCTGTCCCCCTGTGCCCTCCTGATGTCCCCTAGTGTCCCCCTGACCCTGTGTCCTCTGCTGTCCCTTGCTGTCCCCCTGCTGTCCCCTCATGCCCTCCCTGTCCCCTGTGTCCCCCCTGTGTCCCCCTGTGTCCCTCCTTGTCCCCTGTGTCCCCTCCTGTCCCTCCTGTCCCGCCTGTGTCCCCTCCTGTCCCTCCTGTCCCCTGTGCCCCTCTCCTGCTGTCCCTCCTGACTCCCCTGCTGTCCCCTGCGTGTCCCTCCCTGTCCCCCTGTGTCCCCCTGCTGTCCCTCTCTGCTGTCCCTCTCTGTGTCCTGACCCTCCTGTGTCCCCCGTGACCCTCCTGTTGTCCTCCTGATGTCCCTCCTGTCCTCTGTCCCCCTCCTGTCCCTCCTGTCCCCCTGTGCCTCCTGCTGTCCCTCCCTCGTGTCCTCCTGTCCCCTCCTGTCCCCCTCTGTCCCCCCCTGCTGTCCTTGCTGTCCCCTGTGTCCCCCTGACCCCTCCTGTGTCCCTCCTGTCCCCTGTGTCCCCCTGCTGTCCCCTGGTGTCCCTCCTGTCCCTCCGTGTCCTCCTGTGTCCCCCTGTGTCCCCTCTGACCCCCTGCTGTCCCCTGCCCCTGTGTCCCTCCTCCTGTCCCCTGTGCCCCCCTGACCATCCTCCTGGACCCCCTGCTGTCCCCTGTGTCCTCTGTCCCCGTGTCCCTCCTGTCCCCTGTGTCCCCTGCTGTCCCTCCTGTCCCCTGCTGCCCTCCTGTGTCCCCCTGACCCCTCCTGTCCCCCCTGACCTCCTGCTGTCCCCTTGTGTCCCTCTCTGTCCCCTGTGTCCCTCCTGACTCTCCCTGCTGTCCCTCCTGTCCCCTGTGTCCCCCTGACTCCCCCTGCTGTCCCCTCCTGTCCCCTGTGTCCCCTGCTGTCCCCTGACCTCCCTGTGTCCCCTGGTGTCCCTCCTGTCCCTGTGCCCTCCTGACTCCTCCTGTGTCCCCCTGACCCCCTGCTGTCCCCTGCCATCCCTGCTGTCCCTCCCGCTGTCCCCTGCTGTCCCTGTGCCCCCTGCTGTCCCCCTGACACTCCTCTGCCATCCCCCTGCTGTCCCCTGACATCCCTGCTGTCCCCCTGACATCCCCTGGTGTCCCTGCTGTCCCCACTGTCCCTCCCCCTGTCCCCTGTGCCCCTGCTGTCCCCTGCCATCCCCCCTGATACCCCTGCTGTCCCCTCCTGTCCCTGCTGTCCCCCTGACACCCCCTGATACCCCCTACTGTCCCCCTGACACCCCCTGCCATCCCCTGCTGTCCCCCTGACACCCCTGCCATCCCCCTGCACCCCTGCTGCCCCCCTGCTGTCCCCTCCTGACACCCCCTGATGTCCCCCCTGACCCCTGCTGTGTCCCCCTGACATCCCTACTGTCCCCTCCTGTCCCTGCTGTCCCCTGCTGTCCCCTGTGCCCTGCCCCTGCTGTCCCCTGCCACCCCTGACACCCCCTGCAATCCCCTGACCACCCCTGCTGTCCCTCTGACACCCCTGGACACCCCCTTGACACCTCCTGCTGTCCCTGCTCTCCTGTGCCCCCTGACACCTCCCCTGCCATCCCCCTGACCCCTCCTGGTGTCCCCCTGACCCCCCTGTCCCTCCTGACACCCTGCTGTCCCCTGTCGTCCCCCTGACATCCCTGTCGTCCCCTGACCCCTGCTGTCCCCTGACACCCCCACTGATCCCCTGCTGTCCCTGTGCCCCCAGCTGTCCCCTGACATCCCTCAGTGTCCCCTGACTGTCCCCTGTACCCCTGCTGATCCCCTGCCATCCCCCTGACCCCCCTGGTGCCCCTGTACCCCCCTAGAGCCTGACTCCCTGTCCTCCTGTCCCCCTGCCATCCCCCTGACCCCCTGCTGTCCCCCTGACGCCCCTGTTGCTCCCCTGTTCCCCTCTGAGCCTGCTGTCCCCTGCTGTCCCCTGACGTCCCCTGCTGTCCCTCGTCCCCTGACCCCCTGCTGTCCCCTTGACACCCTGCTGCTGTCCTCTGTCCCCTGCCCCCTGCTGTCCCCTGACACCCCAGCTGTCCCCTGACACCCCTGCTGTCCCTGCTGTCCCCCAGCTGTCCCCTCTGACACCCGCCTGACTCTCCTGCTGTCCCCTGACACCCCTGACCCCTGCTGTCCCCTGACACCCCTGCTGTCCCCTCCTGACACCCTGCTGTCCCTCTGACACTCTCTGCTTATCCCTTGCTGTCCTCTCTGACTCCTGCTGTCCCCTGACACTCCTTCTGGTGCCCCTGCTAGCCCCACTGTCCCCCTCCCTGTCCCTGTGCCCCCTGCTGTCCCCCTGCTGTCCCCTGACTCTGTCCCCAAGATCCTCTGTCCCCCTGCCTGTCCTCTGCCATCCCCTGACACCCTGCTGTCCCCTGACACCCCCTGACCCCCCTGGTGCCCCCCAGGAGCCTGCTGAACAAGCCCAAGAGCGAGATGACGCCGGAGGAGCTGCAGAAGCGGGAGGAGGAGGAGTTCAACACGGGGCCCCTGTCGGTGCTGACCCAGAGCGTCAAGAACAACACCCAGGTGCTCATCAACTGCCGCAACAACAAGAAGCTCCTGGGACGGGTCAAGGCCTTTGACAGGTCAGTACAGGGGTCACCAGGGTCCTAAGGAGGGTCACCAGGGTCCTAAGGGGGTCACCAGGGTTACCAGGGGGTCACCAGGGGTCCCCAGGTGCTCATCAACAAGAAGCTCCTGGGACGGGTCAAGGCCTTTGACAGGTCAGTACAGGGGTCACCAGGGTCATCAGGGGGTCAGCAGGGTCCTAAGGGGGTCATCAGGGTCACCAGGGGTCACCAGGGTCCTAAGGGGGTCACCAGGGGGTCCCCAGGTGCTCATCAACTGCCGCAACAACAAGAAGCTCCTGGGACGGGTCAAGGCCTTTGACAGGTCAGTACAGGGGTCACCAGGGTCCTAAGGGGGTCACCAGGGTCCTAAGGGGGTCATCAGGGGGTCAGCAGGGTCAGCAGGATCACCAGGGGGTCATCAGGGTCCTAAGGGGGTCCCCAGGTGCTCATCAACTGCCGCAACAACAAGAAGCTCCTGGGACGGGTCAAGGCCTTTGACAGGTCAGCAGAGGGGTCATCAGGGTCAAGGGTCCAGAGGGTCACCAAGGGGTCACCAGGGTCCTAAGGGTCACCAGGGGGTCCCCAGGTGCTCATCAACAAGAAGCTCCTGGGACGGGTTAAGGCCTTCGACAGGTCAGTAGGGGGGTCACCAGGGTCACCAGGGGGTCACCAGGGTCACCAGGGGGTCAGCAGGGTCACCAGGGGGTCACCAGGGTCATCAGGGTCATCAGGGGGTCACCAGGGGGTCCCCAGGTGCTCATCAACTGCCGCAACAACAAGAAGCTCCTGGGACGGGTCAAGGCCTTTGACAGGTCAGTACAGGGGTCACCAGGGTCATCAGAGGGTCATCAGGGTCATCAGGGGGTCAGCAGGGTCCTAAGGGGGTCACCAGGGTCCAGAGGGTCATCAGGGTCACCAGGGGGTCACCAGGGTCCTAAGGGGTCACCAGGGTCCCCAGGTGCTCATCAACTGCCGCAACAACAAGAAGCTCCTGGGATGGGTCAAGGCCTTTGACAGGTCAGCAGAGGGGTCATCAGGGTCCTAAGGGGGTCACCAGGGTCATCAGGGGGTCACCAGGGTCATCAGGGTCATCAGGGGGTCACCAGGGGTCCCCAGGTGCTCATCAACAAGAAGCTCCTGGGACGGGTCAAGGCCTTTGACAGGTCAGCACAGGGGTCACCAGGGTCCTAAGGGTGTCACCAGGGGGTCCTAAGGGGGTCAGCAGGGCCCTCAGGGCATCACCAGAGTGTCCCCAGGGTCCCCATGGGGTCCACATGGGCTCCCCAGGGTCCCCACAGGGTCCCCAGGGTGTCCCCAGGGTATCCCCAGGGTCCCCACGGGGTTCCCAGGGTGTCCCCAGGGTCCTCAGGGTGTCCCCAGGGTCCTCAGGGCATCACCAGGGTGTCCCCAAGGGCTCCTCAGCATCCCCAGGCTGTCCCCAGGGTCCTCAGGGGGTCCCCAGGGTATCCCCAGGCTGTCCCCAGGGTGTCCCCAGGGTCCCCAGGCTGTCATCAAGGTGTCCACAGGGTCCCCAGGCTGTCCCCAAGGTGTCCCCAGAGCATCCCCATGGGGTCCACAGAGTGTCCCCAGGGTCCCCAGGGTGTCCCCAGGGTCCCCAGGGTGTCCCCAGGGCGTCCCCAAGGGCTCCTCAGTGTCCCCAGAGTGTCCCCAGGGTGTCTCCAGGGTCCTCAGGGTGTCCCCAGGGCGTCCCCAAGGGCTCCTCAGTGTCCCCAGAGTGTCCCCAGGGTGTCCCCAGAGCATCCACAGGGTCCCCACGGGGTCCCCAGAGTGTCCCCAGGGTCCTCAAGGTGTCCCTGGGGATCCCCAGTGTCCCCAGGCTGTCCCCAGGGTCCTCAGGACATCACCAGGGTGTCCTCAGGGTCCTCAGGGCGTCCCCAGGGTGTCCCCAGGGTGTCCCCAGGGTCCTCAAGGCATCATCAGGGTGTCCCCAGGGTCCCCAAGGTGTCCCCAGGGTCCCCATGGGGTCCCCATGTCCCCAGGGTGTCCCAGGGTGTCCCCAGGATCCCCACGGGGTCCTCAGGCTGTCCCCAGGGTGTCCCCAGAGCGTCCACAGGGCATCACCAGGGGGTCCCCAGGGTCCCCACGGGGTCCCCAGGGTCCTTAGGGCATCATCAGGGGGTCCCCAGGGTGTCCCCAGGGGGTCCCCACGGGGTCCCCAGGGTCCTCAGGCTGTCCCCAGAGTGTCCCCAGGGTGTCCCCAAGGGCTCCTCAGTGTCCCCAGAGTGTCCCCAGGGTGTCCCCAGGGTGTCCCCAGGGTCCTCAGGGCATCACCAGGGTGTCCCCAGGGTCCCCACGGGGTCCTCAGGGGCTCCTCAGGGTGTCCCCAGAGCGTCCCCATGGGGTCCACAGAGTGTCCCCAGGGTCCCCAGGGTGTCCCCAAGGGCTCCTCAGCGTCCCCAGGGTCTCCACGGGGTCCCCAGGGTCCCCAAGAGCTCCTCAGGCTGTCCCCACAGTGCCACCTGGGCACTGGGACCCCCCCAAAACCCCCCTGTGTGTGTGTCCCCACCCCCCAGGCACTGCAACATGGTGCTGGAGAACGTGAAGGAGATGTGGACCGAGGTGCCCAAGAGCGGGAAGGGCAAGAAGAAATCCAAGCCGGTCAACAAGGACCGCTACATCTCCAAGATGTTCCTGCGCGGGGACTCCGTCATCGTCGTCCTGCGCAACCCCCTCATCGCCGGCAAGTAGAGGAGACCCCCAAAAAACTCCCCCTGGGACACCACAGGACCCTCCTGGAGCCCCCCAGACCCTCCTGGAGCCACCAGGACACCACAGGACCCTCCTGGAGCCCCCAGGACATCACAGGACCCTCCTGGAGCCCTCAGGACCTTCCTGGAGCCCTCAGGACCCTTCTGGAGCCCCCCAGACCCTTCTGGAGCCACCAGGACATCACAGGACCCTCCTGGAGCCCCGCCCCCAGACCCTTCTGGAGCCACCAGGACATCACAGGACCCTCCTGGAGCCCCCCGGACCCTCCTGGAGCCCCAGGACCCTCCTGGAGCCCCCAGGACACCACAGGACCCTTCTGGAGGCCCCCGGACCCTCCTGGAGCCCTCAGGACCTTCCTGGATCCTCCACGACCATCCCAGATCCTCCAGGACCCTCCTGGAGCCCCCAAGACCCTTCTGGAGCCCTCAGGACCCTCCTGGAGCCCCCAGGACACCACAGGACCCTCCTGGAGCCCCCCGGACCCTCCTGGATCCTCCACGACCATCCCAGATCCTCCAGGACCCTCCTGGAGCCTCCAGGACCCTCCTGGAGCCCCCAGGACACCACAGGACCCTCCTGGAGCCCCCCGGACCCTCCTGGATCCTCCACGACCATCCCAGATCCTCCAGGACCCTCCTGGAGCCTCCAGGACCCTCCTGGAGCCCTCAGGACATCACAGGACCCTCCTGGAGCCTCCAGGACCCTCCTGGAGCCCTCAGGACATCACAGGACCCTCCTGGAGCCTCCAGGACCCTCCTGGAGCCCTCAGGACATCACAGGACCCTCCTGGAGCCACCAGGACACCACAGGACCCTCCTGGAGCCCTCAGGACCCTCCTGGATCCTCCACGACCATCCCAGAACCCCCAGGACCCTCCTGGAGCCCCCAGGACCCTTCTGGAGCCCCCAGGACCCTCCTGGAGCCCCCAAAACCCTCCTGGAGCCCCCCAGACCCTCCTGGAGCCCTCAAGACCCTTCTGAAGCCCACAGGACCCTCCTGGATCCCCCAGGACCCTCCTGGAGCCCCCAGGACCCTCCTGGAGCCCCCAAGACCCTTCTGGAGCCTCCAAGACCCTTCTGGAGCCCCCCAGACCCTCCTGGAGCCATCAAGACCCTTCTGAAGCCCACAGGACCCTCCTGGATCCCCCAGGACCCTCTCAAATCCCTCAAGACTCTCTTGAATCCCTCAAGACCCTCTTGGATTCCCCTTGACTCTCTCAGACCCCCCCAGGACCTTCTCAGATCCCCCAGGATCTTCCCAAGTCCCTCAAGACCCTCCTGGATCCCCCTCGACCATCTCAGATCCTCCAGGACCCTCCTGAATTCCCCAGGACCCTCTCAGATCCTCCACGATCCCCTTAGATCCCCCCCCCAGGATCTTCCCAAATCCCTCAAGACCCTCCCTGGGATCCCCCAGGAACCCTCTTGGATTCTCCAGGACCCTCCTGGGATTCCCCCACTGAGTAGGAGGAGGGGGGGGTGGTCTCAGTGTGGCCTTGAGACCCTCAGGCCTGAGCCCACCCTGTCCTGGCCCCCCCCCAGCTCTCACAGAGGGACCCCCACCCTGTCCTGGACCCCCCGGGTGGGATTTTGGGGGTCCTGTGTGCTCCCACAAAGCTGGTTTGGTACCTCCTGTGTCGTTCTCTGTGACCCCCCAGGGTCGATTTTGTGTCCCTCCCCCTTCGTGTCCGTGTCCCCTCCCCAAACGCCACCGAGGCCACGCCTCTGCCCTCGTGGCTCTGCTCCCTCCCCCGCGAGAGCCGCGGTCGGAGCAGGTGGGGAGGGGAACTGGGACCCTCATCCCCCCCGGGACCCCCATCCTGGGGACTCCCCACCTGGGACCCTCATCCTGGACTGGGACCCCCTGGGACCCCATCCTGGATTGGGACCCCCTTGGGACCCCCATCCTGAACTGGGAACCCTCTCTGGGACCCCATCCTGGACTGGGACCCTCCCCAAGACCCCCATCCTGAACTGGGACTCCTCTCCCCGAGACCCCCATTCTGGACTGGGAAACCCCTGGGACCCTCTATCCTGGACTGGGACCCCATCCTGGACTGGGACCCCCCCCTAGGACCCCCATCCTGGACTGGGAACCCTCTCTGGGATCCCCATCCTGGACTGGGACCCACCCCCTCGGGACCCCCATCCTGAACTGGGAGCCCCCCCCCTCGGGACCCCCATCCTGGACTGGGAATCATCTCTGGGCCCCCATCCTGGACTGGGACCCCCCACAGGACCCTCATCCTGGACTGGGACCCCACAGGACCCTCATCCTGACTGGGACACCCTCGGGACCCCCATCCTGAACTGGAACCCTCTCTGGGACCCCCATTCTGGACTGGGACCTCCCCCCAAGACTGGGACCTCCGAAACACTCCTGGGACCCTCCCCGGGACCCCCATCCTGACTGGGAACCCCTCGGGACCCCATCCTGACTGGGACCCCCCAGGACCCCCATCCTGGACTGGGACTCCCCCAGGACCCCCATCCTGACTGGGACCTCTGAAACATTCCTGGGACCCCCGGAACCCCTTGGGAACCCCACCAGGACCCCCAGTTCCACCCCCAGGGCCTGGGACCCCCCCAAACCCCACCAGGGCCTGGATCCTCCTGGGACCTTCCAGGACCTGCCTGGGAACACCCCAAAGAACTGGGAACCCCCCCATACTGGGACACCCCCAGCACAGGACCCCCCATACTGGGAGCCCCCTAGGACTGGGACCCTTCCTGGGCCTGGGATCCTCCCAGGCCTCCTGGGACCCTTTCAGGACCTGGGAACACCCCAAAGGACTGGGACCCCCCCCATACTGGGACCCCCCCCAGCACTGGGACCCCACCCCATACTGGGATCCTACCCCATACTGGGATCCCACCCCATACTGGGACCCCCTAGGACTGGGACCCTTCCCTGGGCCTGGGATCCTCCTGGGCCTCCTGGGACCTTCCAGGACCTGGGAACACCCCAAAGACTGGGACACCCCAAAGACTGGGACCCTTCCCCAGGACTGGGACCCCCCCAGCACTGGGACCCTTCCCCAGGACTGGGACCCCCCCCATACTGGGATCCTACCCCATACTGGGATCCCCCTAGGACTGGGACCCTTCCTGGGCCTGGGACCCTTCCAGGACCTGGGAACACCCCAAAGGACTGGGAACACCCCAAAGGACTGGGACCCCCACCAGCACTGGGACCCCACCCCCATACTGGGACCCACCCCATACTGGGACCCCACCCCATACTGGGACCCCCCTAGGACTGGGACCCCCCAAGGACCGGGACCCTTCCTGGGCCTGGGATCCTCCCGGGCCTCCTGGCACCTTCCAGGACCTGGGAACACCCCAAAGGACTGGGACACCCCAAAGGACTGGGACACCCCAAAGACTGGGACCCTTCCCCATACTGGGATCCCACCCCATACTGGGACACGCCCCCCATACTGGGACACCCCCCCCATACTGGGACACCCCCCCCATACTGGGACCCTCCCTGGGCCTGGGACCTTTCCTGGGGCCTGGGATCCTCCTGGGCCTGGGGCTCTCTGCAGGTTTAGGACCCCCTCCCAGGCTCGGGACACCCCACACCCCGGGGGTCGTTTGGGCTCTGGTGGTGCCTCCCCTCCCCTCAGATGGAGCCCCTGGTGAGCAACAACCCCCGGACAGCGGCACCGGTGAGGGGGGACAGGGACCCCAGAAATGGGGATGGGGGGACAGGACCCCCACAGATGGGGATGGGGGACAGGGACCCCCATAGATGGGGATGGGGGACAGGGACCCCAGAGATGGGGATAGGGGGACAGGACCCCCAGGTGGGGATAGGGAGGACAGGGACCCCACAGATGGGGATGGGGGACAGGGACCCCATAGATGGGGATGGGGAGGGGGACAGGACCTCCCAGGTGGGGATAGGGAGGACAGGACCCCCATAGATGGGGATGGGGGGACAGGACCCCCACAGATGGGGATGGGGGACAGGGACCCCCACAGATGGGGACATAGGGGGACAGGGACCCCCATAGATGGGGATGGGGGACAGAGACCCCTACAGATGGGGACATAGGGGGACAGGGACCCCCACAGATGGGGATGGGGGGACAGGGACCCCCATAGATGGGGATGGGGGGGACAGGGACCCCCATAGATGGGGATGGGGGACAGGACCCCATAGATGGGGATGGGGGGACAGGGACCCCCATAGATGGGGATGGGGGACAGGGACCCCACAGATGGGGATAGGGGGACAGGACCCCCATAGATGGGGATGGGGGGACAGGGACCCCATAGATGGGGATGGGGGGACAGGGACCCCCACAGATGGGGATGGGGGGACAGAGACCCCAGAGATGGGGGCATAGGGGGGGACAGGACCCCACAGATGGGGATGGGGGGACAGGGACCCCCATAGATGGGGATGGAGGGGGACAGAGACCCCATAGATGGGGATGGGGGGGGACAGGGACCCCAGAGATGGGGATGGAGGGGGACAGGGACCCCCATAGATGGGGATGGGGGGGACAGGGACCCCATAGATGGGGATGGAGGGGGACAGGGACCCCATAGAGTGGGGATGGAGGGGGACAGGGACCCCCATAGATGGGGATGGGGGGGGACAGGGACCTCACAGATGGGGATGGGAGGACAGGGACCCCACAGATGGGGATGGGGAGGGGGACAGGGACCCCCATAGATGGGGATGGGGAGGGGGACAGGGACCCCCATAGATGGGGGATGGGGGACAGGGACCCCATAGATGGGGATGGGGGACAGGGACCCCCACAGATGGGGATGGGGGGACAGGACCCCACAGATGGGGATGGGGGGACAGGGACCCCATAGATGGGGATGGGGGGACAGGGACCCCCATAGATGGGGATGGGGGGGACAGGGACCCCACAGATGGGGATGGGGGGGGACAGGGACCCCCACAGATGGGGATGGGGGGGACAGGGACCCCCATAGATGGGGATGGGGGGACAGGGACCCCATAGATGGGGATG